CCTGAAATCTTCACCCTAGCCTAACAACACACTGGCATCTCACCCTCTTGGCCACACACAGCATCTCCCACCCGGTCCATTCCTTAAGCACCTTCTGCCTCTTGGGGCCCATGCCCCTCCACCAGCCCACACTCACAGCCCTGGGCAGTGTGGCCACTCGGAGCCTTCGTGTCCTTGACCGTGCAAAGGAAACAAGACCATCTGAGAACCTCATTACATGAGGTGACACAAAAGTGACCTCCTGAGTTCCGGGCACCAGCTGGCGCCATCAGCTCCCCCTCCCTGCCATCCACAGGTTATCATGGAAGCCTGGGTGAAGGGCGTGAACCCCAAAGGCAACTCCACCAACCCCAGCAACTGGGACTTCAGCAGCAGTTTCTTCTTTGCCGGCACGGTCGTCACTACCATAGGTAAGTGCCCGGTGCAGGAGGGCTCGCTCTGTCTAGGTTTGGGTTCCCCAAAAGCAGAGGCTGAGGCAAGGATGTGGTTCATCTGGGATGTGGAGACGAGGGAAAGTGAAACCAGGAGGAAAGGCAATAAAGTGTGCGTCAATGAGCAGGTTACCGGGCAGGGCAGCTGGGCTCACTGCAGACCCTCTGGGCTTCGTGCAGATCCTCTGAGCAGCCCCTGCGAGGGGTGAGAAAGCAGGATTCACTCTCCAACTTGGCGGGTTGAGAGTGAATCCTGGATGTGTGAACTCTCCATCACTTGGACCTGCCCACGGACCCAGTGAACTCTTGCAGCCGAAAAGCCTCTCAGGTGCAAGATGCAGGGAGCTGGAGGGAAGCCATCTGTGTGCACAGGAACTGTCTACAGGCTGCCGGTGCTGTGCCAGGGGCTCCGAGGGGCCAGGACACTGGGCATGTCTGCTGCACCCTTCAGCCAGACACCCGCTCCGGTCCTATAAGGAAACCCAGGCCCTCACTAACCCCATTTATTCAATTAAGACCAATTAGATCCAATGCCTTCTTTGATCTCTGGTGTCATGGGAGGCAGAGGAAGGAGTGAGGGGGAGGGAGATTCATACAAACTTGGATCAGACTCAGACTCAGCCCTCCAGGACCTTCCAATCCAATGGAAGAGATAAGATAAACACCAAAAATAACAGTGTCAGGCAAAGTAGATGAGTAGATAGGAATGACACAAAGCACTGTGGGAAATCAGACAGACCTACTGGGAAGGTGAAAGGTGGTGGTCAGGAGGGTTTCCTAGAGGAAGGGTCACTTACTATGGGCCTTGAAAGACAAGCCGAAGTCTTATATTAGTAAACAGGGATCGTCCTAGCAGAGAATGAGACCAGTGTCCATGTGACCAGGAAAGCTTACCCTCCTCCCCCAGCGGCCACAGAAAATCACTCACCTCTGCTGGAGTCTGTGGGGGAGGCAGTTCTGAGCTCTCTTCCCCACATTCACTCCTCCTCTGCTGCAGGATATGGGAACCTGGCACCCAGCACCGAGGCAGGCCAGGTGTTCTGTGTCTTCTATGCCCTGGTGGGCATCCCTCTCAATGTGATCTTCCTCAACCACCTGGGCACGGGGCTGCGTGGCCACCTGACCACACTGGAGAGGTGGGAGGACCAGCCCAGACGCTCCCAGGTAGGCCCCACCCTCCCTCCAGCCCTGCGGTGACAGATCCGGGTCAGGTTAATCCGTAGACGCCAACACTGACTGACGGAGCGTGGGCAGCAGCTATTAGGCAGGCACTGGTGGAAGGAAAGGATTGGGCAGAGGGAGAGATTGAATGCCACGTGGCTGGGCAGATTTGACCAACCCCTCACGGAGCTCTGGGACATGGACAGGCCTTCGAAGGTGTCCCTCAACAGGCTGAAATGATCAGGACTTTTTAAAAAATATATGTTTATTGATTTCAGAGAGACAGAGAGAGAGATAGAAATATAAATGATGAGAGGGAATCATTAACTGGCTGCCTCCTGCACGCCCCACACTGGGGATCGAGCCCGCCACCCGGGCATGAGCCCTGACTGGGAATTAAACCGCGAGCTCCTGGTTCATAGGTCGATGTTCAACCCCTGAGCCTCACTGGCCGGGCATGACCAGGACTTTACACCCTGCCTCAATTAGGCACTTGGCAGCCTCCCTGTAGCTGACACACGTCCTGAAGGAGATGACAGCAGAATGACCTGCTGACAGCTGGTCAACATGGCACACCTCCATGGTCATCACAGAACTCCAACAAGCTCCAGGCCACCCAGCATGCCCCAGTGCCCACCCCATTGGCCAGTCCTTTGCAAAGCCAGGCACACTAGCAGGACAAGGGTGTGGAGGAAGCTGGGAGGTTTCAGTGACAGTCCTCTGTCCCAAATCTGAGTCCTGGGGGCCCTGTACTCACCCAAAGGAACCTCCGAATTGACCCATCAATGCAGCCCCTTTGACCAGATCTCCCCCTGACACGGAGATCCAGGCCCCAGCCCAAAGGTCTGCAGGGCAAAAAAGGGACTGAGCTGTGACCCACTCCCACTCCCAACTTTTCCCCAGACTCTCCCACACTGTGCAGTCCTGGGGTCTCCCACATGGACTCACCGCCTCCCCTCCCTCCAGGTTTTGCAGGTCCTGGGCCTGGCTCTGTTCCTGACCCTGGGGACGCTGGTCATCCTGGTCTTTCCGCCCATGGTCTTCAGCCACGTGGAGGGCTGGAGCTTCAGCGAGGGCTTCTACTTTGCCTTCATCACTCTCAGCACCATCGGCTTCGGGGACTATGTTGTCGGTGAGGACAAGGCCTTCACATACCTCAGGGTCAGGGACACCGGGATTGGGGGCTGGGAAGATGTCAGCGGGGGTGGCCCCTGAGATGTCAGAAGGCCCCCGGCTTTGTGGAGATGAATGATTTCTGAGGCTACTGCGCATTCTCACATCTTCAGAAGCTGCTGGTCTGGAATCCATATCCTTTCCCCAGAGACCTCCATTGATGATCCTTGTTATGGGGAGACTGGCAGGGCCCCAATGGATTTGGGGGAGGTGGGGGAGAGGAGGGAGTGGCTGTGCCCTCAGATCCCTGGCGTTTATCACATTCCCTTCCCGGCCAGGCACGGACCCCAGCAAGCATTACATCTCGGTATACCGGAGCCTGGCAGCCATCTGGATCCTCCTGGGCCTGGCATGGCTGGCGCTGGTCCTCCCGTTGGGTCCCCTGCTTCTGCACAGGTGCTCGCAGCTCTGGCTGCTCAGCAGGGGCCTCCACCTCAAGGAAGGGGGAGATCCTGAGGCCAATGGGCTCCCCAGACCTCAGAAGATCCCCACCTCTGCATGAGCCCCCACCCCAGTGGTCCGAGGAGCCCCTCTCAGCTTCCCCCACCCTGCACATGTGTTCTCTGGATTTCCCTCCTCACTCCTCCTCTCCCAGCCAGGGCTGATCTCAGGAGCTCACTGGAGAGAGAAAGGAGGGAGGAGTGTCCCCGAAAGTACCAGAATGGAGATGGGGAGACAGGATCAATGACGGATGGGTGTGAGGCGAGAGGGTGGCCATTGTCCCAGAGCCCCTGCCCTTTTCCCCTCAAAGGGGTCCAGATATGGGTCACTGTGGCCAGACCCTCACTGCCCTCCTCCCAGCCCCTCCCCAGAGATGCTGCAGGACAGCAAGCAAAGGGTGGCTGTGCTTCTGCCTCATTGGAGACCTGCGCAGTGTTCGCTGGCTGGGCCCCGCGATGTGACTGCACTGAGTCAGGCTCTGGGAAGTCCCTGCCCTCCATGTGCACTTATCGAATAGAAGGATTAGCTAAGTAGAGGGGCAACCCCAACCCAGGACTCAAAATGCTATGACGAGAGCAAACGAGAGCCCCTAGGAACAGCTGGCAGGGAGGAGGAAGGGGAGGGCAGGGGTCTTAGAGCATCTCAGTGCAAACGGGATCTGCCCTCAGGGAGCTGCGCTGAGGGGCAGGCAAGTGCCAGGGCCCCTGGCCTGGAAGTCCAGAGCTATCTGTGAGCAAGACTGGGAATAGTCTCCCCTGGCCCTCCCCCAGGGCACCCCATCACCCACTCTGGGCTCCTGTCTTCTTAAGAGCATTTCCAAACATATTTCCCTGGGAACACACAGAGTCAGCAGATCCCAGGAGACTTCCAGGAACTGAGCTCCATGGAGGCCCGGCCTCCCCTGGGAACCAGCTCTGTTGCCTGGCCTTTCTCCTGCTGGACTGACGGCCACATCTCCGGCCAGAGGAGAGGAGAGACTGGGACCAGTCCTTCCCAGGCCCCGCTCACCGAGGACTGCAAACCTCAGCCCCAGGACCCCGCCGCCAGGCAGGCCCTCAATGGCCTGGACCTCGGGAGGGGACGAGGAGAGGCTGGGAAGCAGAGGAGGCCCAGGTGGGACACCCAGGACAGCATCCACAGCAGCGCGCCCCAGATGACATCCCCGGACTTCCTGTTGAAGCCAAGGACTCCTCTGGACCCCTCACCACCAGGACCCTCCCTCCATCCTGGCTAGAGGAGGGAGTACGGGGCCTTTTCCGAAGTAGGGAGTGGACAGCCCACTCACTGACCAGGCCCCTCTGCCTCCCGGGCTCATGGACAGCGCTGATCAGCCGGCCCTCCTCTTTGGATGCACCGAGGGAAGGAGGAGGGTGTGAGAGACCCAGGGAGGATTTGACAGCAGCAGTCCTTGGAGATGGTCACCGGACCCAGGGGCTAAGGCAGGGGCCCTCAGAAAATAAACTTGGCTTCTCCCTTCTCTTCCCTCTGCGTCTGGTCTCCCGCAGCCCCTCCCACTGTCTGCTGCAGGGCAGCTGAGGGCTCTGGGCCCTTCGGCACCACCCAGCAGCCCTCCCCACCTCCCTGAGCTGGGGGGTGGGCACTCCCTACACTTCGAGGCGGGGCCAGATGCCACAGCTCAGGCCTCTTTTTGTCCCTGGGATTGGATCCCAGGGCAGGGAGGGGCACGCTGTCCAGCACGCCTCCGCTGCTGTTGGCCAGCAGAGTGCGAGCCCTTCCTCTCCACCAGGGCCCTGGTCCATGGCTCCCCAGGCCGGGCGCCCTGTCTGTCCTGCCATGTGCGGACAGCGAGCCCGGGCAGCGTCCCAGGGCAGGGCCCGGTGCTGCGCCCTGCCAAGCACGGTGCCCCTGCTCTTCGCCTACCTGGCCTACCTGGCCCTGGGCACCGGCGTGTTCTGGATGCTGGAGAGCCCCGCGGCGCAGGCCTCCGAGGCCAGGTTCAAGCGCGACAAGTGGGCACTGCTGCGGAACTTCACGTGCCTGGACGGCCCGGCGCTGGACTCGCTGATCCGGGTCAGGGGAGAGCGGGGCCGGCGGGGGGAGGGGGCGGCGGGAGACCCGGGCGGGCAGGGGAGCGCGGGGGTGGGGTGTGGGGGGGCGGGCAGAGGGCGGCAGGGCACACCCTGGCCCGGGCCAGGAGCACGCAGGGGGCATTTCTCCAAAAGGGTGGAGGCAGCAGTAGACACGGGGACCACATGGCCGCACGTGGCGCGGTGGGGGCGAGTGTTGGACGGAGGGACAGGCAAGTCCCGGCTCAGCTCGGGTTAGAGGAGCGCCACGCTGTGCGCACTTTAGGAGACAGAGGGCGAGACCCACCTGGTGGAGAGAGGGCTTCGCGACACAAACACCAAACCTGGGGATGAGGACGACAGGGGGCGCACCTATTTGGTTCAGGAGCTGCCAGGGCCAACCAGGTTGAATCAGAACGGGTCCAGGGTGCTCTCAGCAGGCTTGAGAGGTGGCAGGAAGGGGGAGCTGGGGCTGGGAAGCGTTGGGACGGGACAGGGCCTGCGAGGGAAGGAGCTCAGTGGCCTTTGCCAGCATCCGGGTCCTAGAGAAGGCGGGGGTGGGGGGTGGGGTTGCAAGGCACTTCTTAGCTGACTACTCGTTAATCTGAGTTTTTGGACAGGGGCTGGGCAGCCTCCCCAGCCCAGGACCTGGAAGAGCTTAGGAGGTCCGTGGTGGGGACACAGGGGTGAACTGCTCAGAGGATGGGGGCCCAGCGGGGCTTGCCAAGGGGGAGCAGGGAGGGTTCTTGGGGTGGGGCATGAAGGATGGACCCAGGTCTTCTCCACCTCAGGGCAGGCGCCCTGGACTGGGAGTTGCTGGGGTTGGACGGATGCATTAACATCCCAAGCCCTGGCTTGATCCCACATGCAGACAGCCTCACCCGTAGCCCACAATCCCCTCGGGGAGAGCAGCCTGCATCCTGGGCATCGGGCTGGGGTGCAATGAGGGAGGGGGAGGGGGGTCTTGAGCCCTTGGCCTGGGCCTCAGCCTGGCCTGGAGCTGAGTGGGGGAAGGACCTTCTCTGCTAAGGACCTAATGTAGCACCCCCCACCTCTAAGCCCCTATGAACTCGGCCCTCTGCCTGGTCCAGTGCGGCCGCACTCCCCTGGCAAAGGAGGGGAGCGTCCCTGGGTCAGGAACGGGGACAGTGATGACATGTCAATGACGCTAATGCCCCTCACTTCCTGTGCACCCAGCACTGTCCCTCATGTGGTACCTTATCTCGTCCTCACCTGCCTCACAGGCAGGTACTATTAATATTACCTCATTTTAGAGCTGAGGAAGCAGGGGCTCAGGGAGGCTGGCACACACGCACATCATGGAGCCAGGAAGCTGGGCTCTGCATCACCAGGCACTGCCCAGTGTGGTCTGTGGGTGTGGGTATTCCTGAGGTTCCCTCAGGGCTTCCTCTCCATGCGCCCCGCCTTCACACCTCCACTCCACCCTCCTCTGGCTTCATCCCCAGGAACAAGGATAGGATGTCCCCAACCCAGATCCCCCCTGTGTGCAGACTTATACATGCAGCTTCCTAGCAGCCCTGAAGTTCCTCCAAGGTCAAGAGCAGGTGGCCCTCCTTCCCCACTGGCCTCACATCCACACAGTTCACAGGGGCCTTAGGTGCTTCCCGCACTGCCCATACCAAACAGGGCCGGAGGCTGGGGTTTCTGACTGGCTCCTCTCTGTTCCCCCTGGACCACCCTATGCCAGGATGCAGGCCAGGCCCTCCATCACTCAGTTCCGCAGCAGGCTTTCAGCTTCCTGTCTGACAGCATCTTCTATACTGCCTCTGCCATAGAGCACACAACCTGATCTTTCTTTAAAAAAAAAAAAAAAAAAAGAAAAGGAAGAGAGAGAAACATCAATGATGAAAGACTCATTGATCAGCTTTCTCCTGCCCGTCCCACACTGGGGATGAAGCCTACAATCTAGGCATATGCCCTGACCAGGAATCAAACTGTGACCTCCTGGTTCATAGGTCAATGCTCAGCTACTGAGCCACACCAGCTGGGCACACCCTGATCCTTCCTCGCCTTTGCTCAGCAGCCATGGGAGAGGCCTGTCACTCTCTGTCTGTTGGGCAGAGAGAGCCAAGTAAGGCCTGGCTCCCAACAACCTTTCGGCCTCCCTATTTGAGATCCCAGGTGCAGTCCTGCCTGCCAGCTGCCGGAATGTCCTTCCGCTGGGAGCACTCCCATCTGACCCTCCAGGAAGGCCCAGCGGCAACATCACCCCTCCATGAAGCCTCCGCCCTTCCCTCAGCAGAATGGGCGCCCTTTCTCTCTGTGCTCCTCTGGCGCTGCATTCAAAGCCATAAGGATGACAGCCATCACTAACCTGTGCCAGGTCCAGGCACTGTTCTGCATCTCTGCACCCAGCGCCTCATTTAACCCTCACCACAATTCTATGAAGCAGGTGCTGTTAGTGCGCCCACTTTGCAGACAGGGAAGCTGAGGCACAGAGCTGAGGATCTTGCCCAGGATCCTGCCGCTGCATTGCCTTAAAGCTACATTGACCTCACCACATTGTCTTTATCCCACTGAGGACAGAGGTCCTGTCTCTTTCATCTCCGTGTCCCCCAAAACACCACAGGTCCTGTCTGGCCAGTGCTTCTTGCAAGAATGGGGTGAGCAGAAAAGAAAATGAGGGGTATTCTTCCAACCAGTGAGATGGCCTGGGCTGGCCTGGGCCCCGGGGGCAAGGGAAGGGAGGGAGCTGTCCCAGGGGAGCCCCTGGTTGCAGGGAGAGAGCCTCCTGGCCCAGGCCAGACTGGGCTTAGCGTGGTTGTGAGGATTTCCATGCACACGTGTGTGTTTGTGTGTGTGTGTGTGTGTGTGTGGTATATGTAAACATGTGCATGTGTGTGGGACTGGGTGCAGGAGCCCAGTCACCTCAGAGCCTGGTGGTCACTGCTGCCTCTCCCCCAGGGCATCATCCACGCATACCAAACTGGGGACATCGTGCTGGTCAACACCACCAGCATGGGGCGCTGGGAGATCATGGGCTCCTTCTTCTTCTCCGTGTCCACCATCACTACCATTGGTAAGTGCGGGTGCAGCCAGGTGAGCATGGCTGGTAGGCATGGTGCCTCCCCATGAGGGACAGGGGCCAGTGCCCTTGGGCGGGGTATCGGGGCCTCGGGGTAGCCAGGGTGGGTGGTCCGGAGCAGAGTCCCAGGCTCACAGCAGATTTGCTGTACCAGGTCTGCATTCCCAGGGTCCCCAGGAGTTGCCTTCAAGCTCAAGGTAGAGAAGCACTGCTCTAGGGAGCTTCTGCCTCACAGGGCCCCTCGGGAAGCAGGGGTCTCCCCAGGGCAGGAGTAAAGACGGCTCTGGGCCAAACCCACCCAACACCGAGCCCAGGGGTAATTGGGAGTGGGGCGAGGGTGGTGGTGGGAAGTAAGGAAGAGGGGACAGGAATCCACAACAGTCTTCAACCTGTTCTTGCCTTGGGTGAGAGGTGGCCACTCCTGGAGGCCACTCCTAAGCTCACGAAGGCACCCTTCAGCCCATCGCTCTCCTCTCCAAGCCCCCTGCCTCCCTCACCGGGGACACTGGGACAAATCCCTGCCTCCACCCGGTTTCCCTAGCCCTGCCCCAGAGAGCAGAGGTGGAACATGTCCTTGGAGGGAGCTTGGGGGCTGTTGTGAGCAAGTGGAAGGTGAAGAGCAGCCTAGATCCTCAGCTCTAGACCCAGGAAGTAAGTAAAGCGCCCCATTCCCCTGCCCTGGTGCCAGGCCCAGCCCCTGCATGACACAGGAGTCACCACCAGGTGGCAGGCTGACACTGCCAGTGGCTCGGGCTACCTCCACCAGCCAGGATCCTCTCAGGAAAGCTTGTCCCAACCTCTGTCCTACCAGACAGGAAGGAGCTAGGCCGAAGCACACAGAGGACTCTCCATCTGGTTTAAATCAGCTAGTACTTTTTGTAAGCAGGTTTCAGGGCTACATAGAGCTTGTACAGCCCTCTACCTTGAGGCAAGCATGCCTGTGGGCTCCTCAGGCTCCATAGACCCAGATCCGGAATCTCAGTGCTGCCATCCCACAGGTTGGGATGAAAAGGTCAAACTCAGGAAGTGCCTCTGACTCCAAAACCCATGCTCTAGACTAGTGCCACACTAGTCTAGAGCAGTGGTCGGCAAACCGAGGCTCACGAGCCACATGCAGCTCTTTGGCCCTTTGAGTGTGGCTCTTCCACAAAATACCATGTGCGGGCGCATGTACAATGTGATTGAAACTTCGAGGCCCATGCACAGAAGTCGGTTTTCGGCCTGGGCGAGTCTATTTTGAAGAAGCGGCATTAGAACACTCAAGGGGCCAAAGAGCCACATGTGGCTCGCAAGCCTCAGTTTGCCAACCACTGCTCTAGACTAGTGTTCCCACCTGCCTCTCCCAGGACTGTGCCTCTGAGACCTCTACATGAGGCAGAAGAGTGTAAACCACCAGTTTCAGTGCAAATGAGTGTGGGCACGTTAAGCAGTGATGTGGGCAGGGGGCAAGGCATCTGTTCATCTATTTACACATCCATTCCCACATTTCCAATTCATTCATTCATTCATTCATTCATTCATTCATTCTTATACTCTTTCAACTCACATATGGTGGGCTCCTTTTGAGTGTCAATCCTGTGCCAATTGGTGAAAATATAAAGATTATGGCCAAGCCCTACCCCAAAGGGGCTCACAACCCTCAGGAGTGGCAGACACGGGAATAAATCATTCTGAGGCGGTGAGTGGGTTATCCTCAAAGCAGAGTGTGTGTGTGCAGGCAAGGGGGAGGGGGAGGGGGGAGGGAGGGGGGGAGAGGGGAGCCACTTCTCCGCTAATCCATTTACAGATGGGCATGGAGGGCAGGAGGCACACTCTTGGCAGGGGGTATCATGTTCAAAGGCACAGGGGGAGGAGAGGTTTGGGGGTTCAGCAGGCAGGAGTGCAGCCGGAGATGGGCTGGGTGAGAGTTTGGACTTTCCCAGCAGACGTGAGGAGTAATACAGAATGATAACCTGGGGTGATAGCATCAGGTTTGTGCTTTAGAAAGACAAGACAGCGGTGACCAGGAATGAGGGAGACAGAGGTGAAGGGGGCAGAAGAGAAAAGAAGGTGCAGGCTGACAGACCCTTTGAGGAACACCTCACTCTCCCCTAGCCTCCCCCTCCCTGATCTTCATGGCAGAGGCCCCAACCTTCCCCTCCCGCAGCTCCCCGGATGTACATCCCTGTCCCTCACTCCCAAGAGGCTTGGGAAGGAACCCAGGTGCATTAGCGCCCTCTGGAAATCACATAGCAAGACCCAATCAGGTATTGGGGAAAGCAAGCGGGGGAGTGAGCTTTGAAAGACAGAGGAGCAGGAGAGATGGTGAGCCTCAGGCTGAAGAGCAGGTCTGAGGCCTGTGGCAGGAGAGACGGAGGAAGGGTTTGAGGTGGGTGAGCTGCAGACACAGTGGGGCTCTAAGAGGCTCAGCCAGGCCAGGGGTTCCCGAGCAAGATGGCCTGTGGGAGGAGGCCTATGTCGGGCAGGAGCTGCTAGCTTGGACGCCGGGAGCCACCTGGGGACAGCAGCTTCGATGGTGCAGTAGATCCAGAGGCACAGGGGCTGGTGGCTCCAGGCCTCCCATGTGCCTGTGCCCCATTCCTTCGCCCACAGAGAGGGAGGAGGTGAAGGGGCGGAAGATGGGCCCTCACACTCGTGGGTTTGAGCTCACACACTTTGCTGAGCCTCTGGGAGCTTCAGTTTCCCAATTGGTACCACATGGGCAGAATCCGTTGGGAAGGAGGGAGCGGGTGCCTCGGCCCCCTGCACAGGCTGGCTACCCCCCAGCTGCCCTGTCTGAAGTGGGTTAGGAATGGGGACCCCGGAGACGGAAGGGTCCCCTGATGTGTTGTCTCCCCTCAGGCTACGGCAACCTGAGTCCCCACACGATGGCCGCCCGCCTCTTCTGCATCTTCTTTGCTCTGGTGGGGATCCCGCTCAACCTCGTGGTGCTCAATCACCTGGGGCACCTCATGGAGCAGGGTGTGCACCGCTGCTCCCGCAGGCTGGGCGGCGCCTGGCAGGTGAGGGCCCAGGGCAGGGGGGTGGGGAGGGAAGGGTCCCTTGTGGAATGAGGGGTGTGCTGGGAACCGTGGCCTCTGATGGCCAGGGAGGTCACTGCCCTGGTGAGAGTCTCTGGTGGGAATAGGGTGGAGACTCTGGAGGGGCCGGCATTGGGAGAACTGGGAGTCAGGGTTACCATGGCGATGAGGTGGATGGGGGTCACGGTCCAAAGGGGATTTTTAGTAATAAAGGAGCTCAGTGCGGGAGACACGGTGGGACCTGGTAGAGAGGAAGGGCCAGGAGCAAGACCCTGGCTGGAAACCTGGGGAATACAGCCAGGCGGAGAGGCCCCGAGAGCAGCCCCCTCTCACTGCCTGCAGCTCAGGTGCCCCAGGCCAGTGGTCTGCAAACTGTGGCTCGTGAGCCGCATGCGGCTGTTTGGCCCCTTGAGTGTGGCTCTTCCACAAAATACCACGGCCTGGGCGAGTCTGTTTTGAAGAAGTCGCGTTAGAAGAAGTTTAAGTTCAAAAAATGTGGCTCTCAGAGAATCCAAGATAGCTGCACAGGTAAACACCTAGCCACAGCCGCACACAACAATTTCAATAAAATACAACTAAAATATAAAATGGACATTACCCAGAATTACAGGAAAGTCGACTAACTGGAAATTCTACAACAAGAAGCAAGGAAAAAAACAGAAGGAAGAGAGGAGGAGCTGTAAAAGCCTAAGGTACGGAGACAGGAGGCGCGTACATTGTGCGCAGAGGACGGACTGTTGACTCTGCTGCCAGATTGCCCTGGCAGGAAGGAGACAAAGGCTCTGTGCTGGGCCCCAGTTCCGACTACTCTGAATCCCAGTTCTAGGCCAGACCCCGGGGACCCAGGCTCAAACAGAGGGAGCTGGGCTGTAAGGCGGAACCCCGGGGGAGCGGCGAAAGGAGGTCCCGGAGGCGCACACATTGCACGCAGAGAAGGGACGGTTGGCTGTGCCATGGGATTGCCCTGGCGGGAAGGAGACAGGGGCTCCAGACTGCTCTGAACGCCACCTCCAACCCCACTTCCAACTGAACTGAACCCCAGTTCCGGGCTCATTGTGGGAGAGCCTACACTGTTTGGTAGCAGGCGAAAATCGAGGACACCTTTCTCTCAGAGGTGCTTGCAGCGAGTACTGAAGGACCCTGGGGATTACTGAGACTCCGGAATCGCATAGGGCGTGGCTGACGGAAGCCAAGCCTGTAGGCTCCACCCTGAAACTCCGCCCCATCAGGGAAGCGGTGAAAATGCCAAGACAATGAAATAGATCACAAACGAAAGAAATGGAGGACAAAAAGCGACTGGATATAGAGTTCAAAACCACACTTATAAGGTTGTTCAAGAATCTCCTAGAAAAGGCCGATAAAATAAACAAGACCTATGAGGATATGAAAAGGGATCAACTAGAAATAATAAGGGATCAACAAGAAATAATAAGGGATCAACAAGAAACAAAGAATACATTGTCTGAAATAAAAAATATTATACAGAAATTTCAATTGTTGTACTGTTGATATTTGGCTCTGCTGGCTAATGAGTTTGCCTCAAGCTGTGGGGGGGGAGGCAGAGCCAGGTGGGGGCAGAGCCAGGTGAGGGCAGAGCCAGGTGGGGGCAGAGCCAGGTGGGGGCTGAGCCAGGTGAGGGCTGAGCCACGTGGGGGCTGAGTGCTGTGTGCCTCCCCAGGACCCGGCCAAGGCCCGCTGGCTGACTGGCTCAGGTGCCCTCCTCTCGGGCCTCCTGCTCTTCCTGCTGCTGCCGCCCCTGCTCTTCTCCCACATGGAGGGCTGGAGCTACGTGGAGGGCTTCTACTTCGCCTTCATCACCCTCAGCACGGTGGGCTTCGGCGACTACGTGATCGGTGAGAGCCCTGGGGCCAGCGAGGGGGCGGGGGGCTGAGACTCGCGGCCTGGCCCTCCACTCCCTGCCCTTTTGGCCGCCTCCCCTGGGTCCCTGCTGCACACCAGGCCCGGTGGGGGCCTGATGCCCCAAGTCCTTGGTGGGTTAAACCCACCTTCGCCGTGTGAGGAGACCCAGGTCACGCAGCCAAAAGGTAACTACTGGAGTCTGAGCCAGCCTCAGGCTGTGGGCGCACTCCTGGCTGTCTGACAAGCGCCGGGAGGGCCTCTGGTGTCCTCGGGCCCCACTCCCATTCTTGGAGCTCACCAGCTAGGGGAGTCCCTGACCCCCTCCCCATCTGTCCTTGTCCCAGGTCTCTCCTCCCCGCCTCACCCTACCCCCTGAGACGCCAGGCTTCCCACAGTACCTGGGGTGGCCCGGGAGGGTCAGGCTGGGGAGTAGGGAGACTCTGGAAACCCTGACCCCCACAGAAAAATACTGGCAGCCGCACTCTGAGCGCCAGCAAGGGTGGACTGTGTGATCCCAAGGGACGAGGTGGGTGGGGTTCAATCTCTTGACTTACCTGGGTCCCGGAAAACCTTGCATAATAAAGCTGAGGCAGATGCCCAGCAGGTGGCAGTAGAGGACAGCCTGTGGGGCAGGCGGGAGGGGTGGCTTCTGCAACTGCAAGTTCTCAGGCTGAGCATGGCCACTGGCACCACCACCACCACACTGGGCTCTGGGCTCTGGGTGCCCCCTCAGATCCCTGGATCTAAACTGGGGGAGGGGGGGGAGGCCCTGCCCTCTGCACTCTTTTGGAGACAGAACCCAACCTGGAACACTGAAATGAGGTTTTACCAAGTAACAGTTTATTAGGCAATCTAGAGCCATGAGTGCCAACATTTTATCTATTGATTTTTTTTTATTGATTTGAGAGAGAGAGAGAGAGAGAGAGAGAAGAGACATCAATCAGTGGACTCCTGCAGGAGGTGCCACAACCTGGGTATGTGCCCTGACCAGAATCGAACCCTCCACCTCTTGGTGTATGGGACAATGCTCCAGTCAACTGAGCAACACCAGCCAGGACATAGCATCCACTTTACTCAGGAGGAAGCTGAAGCTCAGAGAGACCAAGCCACTTGCCTGAGGTTGCACAGCTAGTAAGATGACAATTCTGATCCATTTAACTCCAGACTCTGTCCCGACCACCTCACACAGCCCCTCTCTGGGCCCCGGTGCTCTACATGTTGCCCTCACAGAGCACAGTGACGATGGCACTGAGGACTCGTACGTCTCTGTCTTGTCCACCCTTGGCCCTTATGATTTCTAAAAATGGCAAGTGCTGCCCTGGGTGGTATGCTCAATGGTTAGAGCATTGGCCCTCAGACCGAAGGGTCATGAGTTCAATCCCTGTTCAAGGGCACGTATCTGGGTTGCAGGTTCAATCTCCAGCTCTGGTCGAGGCTCGTGCTGAAGGCAACCAATCAGTGTGTCTACCTCACATTGATGTATCGCTCTTTCTCTCCCCCTCCCTCTCTTCCTCCCTCCCTTCCATGCTTTCTAAAAAACAAAAGGGAAAACATAAAAAATAAAAAGGACAAGTGCTATCCTGTCCCCTGCCCAGCTCCTCTGAAAACCTCTGCTTTCCCCCATAGTCAGGCTGAGTACGGATCCACGAGCAGGCCTGGGGGAGCCCTGCCCTCCCCTCCGCTCCCCTCCCTCTCCACGCTGAGCCCTCGCCCTCACGCTGCCCCTGGGCCTCCCTGAAACACTCTCTGACAGCCGGCAGGAGCAGGGGCTGGCACAGTCCTGAGCCCAGAAGGCTGGCTCTCTGAGAGCCCAGTGCAAGGGGAAGGCAGAAAAGTGGGAAGAGGACCCTACGAGGGTGCCTTGTGGGAGGAACTAACAGGGAAGGCCTATGTGTGCTGAGGGGAACCCCTGAGGAAGTCCTGAGACCCCGAAGGTGGGTGGGGGAGGGGCAGCCCCCTCTAGACCTGGGCGCCCTGACAATGGAAGACAAGGCCTCCCCCCCCTCCCCATCGAGGGAGGGGCAGGGGCATCTGCACAGCGGCCTCTACAGGGGTGAGAAGGGCTGGGTCTCTTCTAACCTGTGAGGCCCCCCTCCGAGGGGAGTGCCAGGCAGGCTATGGGCACAGACCTCCCAGAACCCCGCCACCCTGGCTTAGAGGGGCAGCGGGCAGAGCCGTCCCTTCACCTCCTCCCCTGAGATTTGCTGCTGTGGCCGTTTCAGCGCCTGTGCCGAGTGACCACCCTGAGCCCCTGGCTGCCTGCCTGCAAGGGGAAACTGAGGCTGCGGTGGCAAAGACCTTGACTAAGGTCAGAGAGCAGGCAAGCCTAGGGCAGGTCTAGGGTAGACGCCCAGGAGGGCTCCTCACATGCATGTGTTCCAGAATCTTCCACAGCTTGGAAGGAACAAACCCCACTCTCCCTTTCCCGTGCCTTGCAGCCTCCCTTATCCTCCAGGGACAAGGCCAAACCCCTGTCCTGGGAGGGAATGCTGAGGCCCACCCCGGGGCTGTGGGTGTCCGTGGTCCCTGCATCACAGCCACGGGCGCTGTCCCAGCTGTTCCTCTGAAGGCTGTGGTGGGCTGGGCCCCCGTCCCAGCTGCCTGCTCCTCTCTGGACCCGCAGCCCCCACAATTGCATTTGCAACTCCGTTGAGCGCCTTGCCAGCTGCCAGGTGTCCTGCCGCTTATGATTTCAGCTAAAAAAAAAAAAAAATGAAATAAACGAGAGAGGAACACCTCCTCCCCTCCGTTGCCAGCCAGGAGCACGCTGAGCTGGCGGGCGGCAGGGGCAGGGAGCTGGGACTCGCTGCTGATCTCATTTGGGCCCGCCGGCGGAATCATGGCCCATAACCCAATCAGCCTAATCCAATCCCCGCTCCCGTCAGGCAGTGAGCTCGGTCCGGGCTGCAGGCTCTTCCCCGGGCGGGGCCTCAGCCAGGAGCCCGGCGGTGAGAGGACGGGACGGAGAGGTTGTCTTGGGCCAAAAGGACGGGGTGGTCAGAGGGCCGGTACAGGAGCTAAGACAGAAAGGATGTCCAGGAAGTAGGAGGACAGGTCCTCTTTTGCATGGTCCCCATCTATTGAGGGAGGCTCGGCGGATCCCAGGAAACGGTGAAAAGAATTGTGTTATAGAGCAAGCCCTCGGCAAGACTCACCTAAACCCCAACGGTCTTAGAAGGTGGACACCCTCGTTGCCTCTGCTTTATAGATGAGAAGCCAGAGGTGTTAAGTAACTTCCCCAACAAAAGCACAAGCCTGGGGAGATCTTAGCAAAGGGGCCCAGTCTAGTCTTCGGGGAGTGACATCTGAACTGCTATCTGAAGGAGGAGGGGAAGAATTTTTTTTTTTAAACATACTTTTACAGAGAGGACGAGAGAGGGAAAGAGGTAAAAACATCAGCCCTTGCTGGTCTGGCTCGGCCTGCAGACTGAAGGGTTCCAGGTTTGATCCCAGTCAAGGGCACATGCCCGGGTTGCGGGCTCGATCCCCAGTAGGGAGCGTGCAGGAGGTGGCCGATCAATGGTTCTCTCATCACCGATGTTTCTTTCTCTCTTCCTCTTTCTTATCCCCTGATATCAATAAATATATATATATATATATATATATATATATATATATATATATATATATATGTTTAAAAAATCAATGATGAGAGATAATCATTGGCTGCCCAGCATGTGCCCTTGATAGGAATCTAACCCAGGACACTTCAGTCTGCAGGCCAGTGATCTATCCACTGAGCCAAACCAGCTAGGGCCAAGAAGAATTTGAAATGAAGAACACTCTGAGCCTAGCGGGCAGTAAGTGCAAAGGTCCTGGGGCAGGAAAGATGATAGATGAAGACTTGGGAAGAAGAGAGTGACTGGAGCACAGTTCTCCAAGGGGAGAAGTATGCCCATCGAGGCTGGGGGAGTAGATAGTGGCCCAGGGGGAGGGGTTATTTTCCCCACGTCCCAGGTGAGGGGCCGTCAGACAGATGAAGGTCACACAGCCAGTAAGGATGGAGGCAGGAAACAAACTCCAGCGGTTCCATCTGTTCTTCCTAAGGGTCCTGGCAAACTGCCTCCCTTCAGATATGAGAAAACCACACACAGAGACTCGCAAACAGCAGGTCAGGACCTCTTGGACGGCTCTGTGAAAATGCAGATGCTGGGCCCACCCCGGACACTCCTGATTCGGCAGGTCCAGCGTGGGGCCCAGTCATTCGCGTTCCTCACAAGCTCCCCGGTGGTGCTGATGCTGCTGCTCCAGGGCCCTGCTCCGAGAGCCGCTGGAACACAGCACAGAGCACCTTAGACAAAGAGGGACTGTCACTCCCAAACCCATGGCGCCCCCCCCCAGGGGGGCTTCCTGCATGCCCTCAGAGGTGACCACCAGGCCAGCCGGCTTGGGCCGGTTTGGACTTCCCCTCTTCTGCCCGTCCGTGTCAAGCCATGTCTGCCCGTTGCTGTTTGGGGACCGTGGCCCTGACTTTCCCAGGACTCCAGCCTCTGACCTTGCCTCTCCCCTAGGGATGGACCCCTCCCGGCAGTACCCTCTGTGGTACAAGAACACAGTGTCCCTGTGGATCCTCTTCGGGATGGCGTGGCTGGCCCTCATCATCAAACTCATCCTCTCCCTGATGGTGACCCGGGGGAGGTCCTATGCCTGCTGCCACCACAGCTCCGAGGGGGACCTCAAGCCCCGAAGCTGGCGGCAGGGCCCAGAGGGAGAGGCCGAGCCCCACCCGCCGCGGCCAGGCTGCTATCCGGAGGCGCCTGTGGGAGCCAGGCAGCACTCGGGAGTCTCAGCTCAGGTCTCACGCTGCGGGAAGCAGAGCTAGTTGTACTCCGGGGTGTGTTCCCCCCTCTTTCTCAGTGGCAAGACCCCTTATGTTCATCTTGGTGCAGGGCCACCCAGACAAAAGACATTTTTTTTTATGTCTTCTTTTGATACTGGGTGCAGTTTTGTGACCAAAGTCTGCCCAATAGGGTGCATAGAGAGGTATCCTGTGTGGCTTCAGTGCTGGGGGAGGTGGGGGGCAATGTGGGTTCTTCTTCTCCAGTTCCTTTAAAAACAAAAAAAATAAAAACAATCTGTATTGTTTAAAGTGTTCCATGTGTCTCCTTTTCCCCATTGATCTCTCCCCGGCCGTTCCCACCCCCAGAACATGCCATCACACCCCTACTGTCCGTGTCCATGGGCCACATGGACACATGCATGCATGCAAGCCCTTTGGTTGATCTGTCACCCCCCTCCCCGCCCCCCTGCTCCTGCCTTCTGCCAACGGTCTGTTTGATGCTTCTCAGTCTCTGGCTCTATTTTTGTTCATCAGTTTATGTTGTTCATTCTATTCCACAAATGAGTGAGATCATGTGATATTTATCTTTCTCCGACTGGCTTATTTCACTTAGCATAATGCTCTCCAGTTCCATCCAGGCTGTGGCAAATGGTAAGAGTTCCTTCTTTTTTCACAGCAGCGTAGTATTCCATTGTGTAGATGTACCATGGATTTTTAACCCAGTCATTAACTGATGAGCACTTAGGCTGTTTCCAAATCTTAGCTATGGTGAATTGTGCTGCTATGAACATTGGGGTGCATATATCCTTTCTGATAGGTGTTTCTGGTTTCTTGGGGTATATTCCTAGAAGTGGGATTACTGGGTCAAATGGGAGTTCCATTTTTAACTTTCTGAGGAAATTCCACTTTGATCTCCACAGCGGCTGCACCAGTCTGCATTCCCACCAGCAGTGCATGAGGGTTCCCTTTTCTCCACATCCTCGCTAACACTTGTTTGTTGATTTGTTGACGGTAGCCATTCTGACAAGTGTGTGATGGCACCTCATCATCGTTTTGACTTGCATCTCTCAGATGATTAGTGACTTGAGCATGTTTTCATATGCCTTTTTTATTTTAATCCTCACTTGAAGGTACGTTTCTATTGATTTGAGAGAGAGAGAGAGATTGATTGGTTGCCTCCTGCACATTCCCTGACCGGGGATAGAATCCAAAACCTAGGTATGTACCCTGACCAGGAATCAAACCCACCATCTTCATGGAATATGGACGATGCTCCAACTAACAGCCACCTAGCCAGGGCCCCACTCTGTGTGTTTGTTTGTTTGTTAATTCTCATCCAAAGATATTTTTCCAATGATTTTTTAGAGAGAGTGGAAATGAGGAGGAGAGAGAAACAGGGTTTGGTTGCCTCCCAGTTGAGCCTGCAATGTGCCCTTGACTGGAATCAAACCCAAGACCTTTCAGTCCGAGGGCCAACGCTCTCTCCACTGAGCCAAACCAGCCAGCCAAGACCCTACTTCATTTCTTTAGCTGGCTGCACGCTGATACAGCGGCTGGAGCTCTGGCAGCCTGCTGCACCAGCAGGTGGAGGCCATGTTTGACATGGGTGGCCCAAGAGAATAGGAAGAGCTTGGCTTCCTGGTGGTCACAGAGACACCATAACAAACCGGGACCCAATACCACCAGACTTCACCCACGGGGTAGAGAAATAAATGTCTATCTTATTTGAAGCACTATTATTTGGGGTTTCTCTGACACAAACAGAACTAATTCAATTATCACACACACAAACAGAAATAAGGCAGCATCTGAGGTGGTAGCACACACGGGAAGCCACCTCCTCCCAGGTGCGCCTGCCCTGGACTGGCGGAGGGAACAGACTGGGGGCTGGAGTGGGCCCTACCCCTCCAGAGACCATCCAGGTGAACTCGCTCACGATTTCCTGAGAGCTCTCCCTGCCCGGCTGGGACTCCAAGCGCTGTCATTCACTCACTCACACCACAGAAAAGCCAGAGGCGGACAGTGGGTCCCCCTGCCTCCCCCTGCCCCACGGCCTGGGAAGGCTCCGACCACAGATTGCAAAGCCAGGTAGGGTGTGCAGAGGTCACTTCTGTTTGCAGAGCTTCTTACTGGAACGTTTCCATCTCTCACCCAGGATTGCTACCAATCAGAACATAATGGTGTGATCCGCATCAAACCCAGCCTGCACCTGCGGGTTCCCTGGGCAGCTGGGTTCTTGGTCTCTGCTCCCGTCCACCATCCTACAGAGCATCACAGGGGCCAGGGGCTCCTGCGGCCCCTCCCTGTGGGCAGACCCTTTAGCATCAGGGCCCTCCTGGCCTGGACCAGGGGCAGCCTTTTGGCTGAGGGCAAAGCTTGTGCCCTCTGGCCTGGGCCTGAGTGGGACTAAGGCCAGAACCAGGGACAAACACCAGTGAGTTACAAGGCTCACACCCACTTCCCAAGGCCCTCAGGCTGCGCAGAGGTGAACGGAGGTGAGGAAGAGGCTGATGAAGGTATGGAGTGGCGTCCTTTGTACCTAACACACTCCAGAAAGAGGACCTCGTCACTCAGGGCTGGGGCAGAGAGAGGCCTGTGCTGGGTTGGCCTCTGAGGTCCCAGCTCACCTTGAGCGCTTTCTCCTCAGACCTGGCCTCTCTAGACTGGGTGCCTGTTCCCCCATCAAACCCTTCGCCCTATGCACATCCCTACTCGTGTTCAGAGCATCTGCCCCAGAGGGAACCAACCTGTGGTGTTGGGGTGGGGCAGAGGAAGGCTTCTGATTGGCCAGTTTCAGGCAGATGTTTGCTCCACAGCCAATGAGAAGAGTTGCTGGAACTGTCTTAAAACCCCACCCAGTGGGAAGGGATAGGTGAATAATGAGGGTGTGGAGCTGGGGAGGTCATAAGAAGCCATGTTTGCAAAGGGCACAAGAACAGAGAGACTTGGACCTCTGGACAGAAATCATAGACCAAAGTGGGCAGTGAGCACTCTCCCCGACAGGCAAGAGGGCGGGCCGGGAGTAATGATGATGTGATAAGGGCAGCCTGAGGAGCTGTCCTACTGGTGCGGCCAGGAACCACTGGCAGCCAGGAGCCTGGGCGTTCATTCCATTCCTTCACATGGCCTCGGCCAGGCCCCCAAGGCCTAAGGGGGAAGGAGAGAGCTCCCCTCAGGGTGTGGCTGTTAGGGGTGCGGAGTTTGGAGCCAGCCTGCCTGGCTCCCCATCTCTGTGACCCCGGGCAGATCATTTAAGGTCCATTTTCTCCTCTCCATATGGAGCTGGGAGCAGGCTGGTCTCCCAGGCTTAACTGAGCGAGTGTGTGACGTGAGTGTGTGAGGTGCCGGAGGAGTGTGTCTCAGCCCAGAGGAGGCAGCTGCAGAGATTCACACCCACCCAGGCAAGGCAGGAGCAGGCAGGGCAGGCGGCTCCGGGGCAGGCGGTATCTCTGCTGGCCCCTCTTGGGGCCTGAGATGACCCGGCAGACAGGGCTGAGCCAGCGGTGATTCAGGACTGGATGAGGGTCCAGTCATGAGTCACAGGGAGCCCTCCTGGCAGAGACCAAAGCTGTGTGTGGAGTTTGCACACCAGGGCCACTGCTGCCGCCATGGCACCGGCACCGAGAGACAGGCAGCCCCCCACACCAGTGCCACCTCTGTCTCTCCTCCCAGCTCGGTGGCTGCAGAGCAGCCAGGGCAAAATCGGACCCTGTGTCCCCTGGGGGTGTCCTTTCAAACAGTGGCATCTTTCAGCATCCTCACCGCCATCACCATCACTTCCTACCATTTAGTGGGAGCTCGGTACGTATCAGGCACTGTCCTAAGCTCTTTACCTTCACTAAGTAAGTTGCTTCTCCCCACAATGCTGTGAGAGAGCAGCCATTATGTTTGATGCTGTTTTAAGGTGAGGAAAGGAGGTTTTTGGCAGGTTCACACCAAAGGTCACCTGCCCCTGAGAGTCATCGGAAAGGCTGCTACCAGGCCTCGGGAGGAAGACCAGAGCCCCGATGGGGGCAGGAGACACCTCGAAGCTCTGCCTGACCTGGACCAGCCTCCCTGGTCCTCGGCCTCCTCGTCTGCAGAGGAGGAGGCCAGCTCCAGGGAGTCTGGGCTTTACGGCTACTCTCTCGGCTTTCGTCCGGCCTGTCCTCGCTGACCACATCTCAGGAAGGGCAGCTCCCAGCCCCACCCCTCTCCAGGGGCTGCCTTAAGCCCTTGGATCCAGGGATGCCTGCTCTTGTATACACGCACACACACACACACACGCACACACACGCATACAGACACGCACATAGACAGACACGCACGCACACTTCCCCAGGGCCCCTCCAATCCTGAAGGCCCAGCTGGGGGAGGGGTGACCATTTATTTTAGGCGCCAGACCAGAGAAGGATGGAACTCTGGGAGCCAGAGGGCTCCTCGGTTTGGGGCAACAGCAATGCTGAGACACCCCATCTCCAATTCCCTTGGACCCTTACCTCACTGTGCCCCACCCCTGGGCCCCGGGCCCAGAGATCACTCCCCTGAAGTCACCCCCTCCGCCCTCCTTAAACCACCGTCTCATCTCTGCTGGTCCCTGGGCCTCCCCCCAATCTCCCCCCCACACACACACACACAGTACTGGGCCTGGCCCTGACCCCACTGACCTCTCCCCTCCCCCACACACAGTGCAGGAGCCTCCGTCTCCTACCCCGCTTTGCTCCCACAGCTCATCTCCAGTTAGAATTGTTTCCCGGGGCCAAGGAGATACAGTCTCCCTCCTCTGAGGCCTCTGGGCCCCTCCCGAGGGCCTTCAGTGTCTTCACCCCAATCTCAAACTCTCCAATCCCTCCTGGACCCAAGGTAGGCCAAGGCCTGGAGGCAGGAAGGGCAACTGAAGCCGTTGTCCTACCCCAGTGATGGCCCCGTGGGAGCCAAGGATGCTTCCCACTCCACTGCAATCTTTAGAAATGGGAACATGAAACCGCACACTCTTGCTTCTACCAGCCACTAAGGTTCCCCCCCCCCAAACCACCACCCCCACCCCCACCTGGCCCTGGGGC